CGCACGCTCGTCTGCCGCTTTAAATTCTCAAACTCGTGATAGCAGGATTGATTCTGATTGGCTGTCAATGTTTTTATCATTCATCAGCTGGAAAAAATCGTTCTGAAAGTGATTCCAATAATATCGTTTCTCTGTGCCTTTATCGTTATAGTTGTGGTGTGGACTCTGCTTTTCTTTAATATTGAGAACGATTTTTAGAACTATATCTTTATCGTTATATTTATAGTTATCGTTCTTGGTGTGAACGGGGCTTAAGTCTATAGTTTGTGTGTCAGAATGTTTCAATTTATTAATTGTGACACTTATTACCAATTTTCATTATTTTCTATTTGATCACTTAGTTATTGGAGTCCTGTAGTTTTGTTAACGTTTAAGTCAGAAAAACATGTTTGCACAAACTATTGCAATCAATGTAATGCGTTTTTAGTTTAAGTTTATAGTTTGTGTAAGATTGTTACACTTAATGTATAGTCAAATTTATTGGCGATTTTTCTGTATTAGTTTTCATTTATTTGATCACCTATAGTTATTGCAGTCCTGTAGTTTAGTTAATAATTCATAAAAACATATTTGTGCAAAATGTCGCATTCAATTTAATGCATACATTTATAGTTTACATGTAAGATAGTTACAATTAAACAATAGTAACACAAATTATTGGCAGTTTTCGTTATTATTTATTTATATGTTCACCTAGTTTTTGCAGCCCTGTGGTTTAGTTAATCATTTGTAAAACCACAATTATGCCGTTTGTTTTGCTTGTTTTAAGAGGCTCCTTGTTTGCGAAATAAGTTGAAGATATTAATGCTTCAGTATAAGACTCAGCTAATCAATAATGATATTAGTCACAAACTATTTTCAGTATTAGCTTTCATTAATTTAATCAATTAGTTGTCTAACAATTAATAAAAAAAGGAAATTATATACAAAAACAAAGTTTGAGTGTTCGTTAAGTTTGTATGTTAAGCGGATCAGGCAATTTGGATGCTAACCTTCATTCATTTCATCTGGTTAAAGCAAACAATTTTACGCTATTCAGTGTTTTTGACTCGACACATTCAACTGTCACAACCCACAGTTAAACAACACAAAAGACGAATCGGATATCTCTCCCTTCAGCCTGACAGTCCAAACAATCCTGATCTTGGTTCTTGGCAAATTTTTTTAGCCTCGTTTGTTTTTATTATGTAAATGTCCTGGAGGCCGGGATGCTGAGCGCTGTCTGTAGACTGCAGAGCAAAGGGGCTTTCATGCTTGAAATTGATAAATTGTTGGAAATCTTCACTAAACACCCAGCAGATATACAGCGCTGCTCATGCCTCCTGCTACTTACTTACAGAACATAAATCATCGTTGTTGCCTAGGCTACAGCGTTTTATGAAAAGTCTGGAAAAGGGGGAATCAGGGAGAATCAGATCATCTTACAAATGAACCTTGGATGGTTTACAGTTCAGTTTATCCCTGCTTACAGGCAAGGTTCCCGCGGTTATGGGGAAACATTTTTAATTAAATTAAGATTTTTTTTATATATATTTCAAAAACATCAAAAAAAAAATTTAGGCTTGGAAAAAACTGAATCAAAGTTGTCTAGTCGCTTGCTTCTAAAATATTCAATCTGCTAGAAATTGCTGTTTGTAAGGGCAAAAATCCTAGTCTAGTTATCATGCACAACTGGAAAAATTATGAAAAATGAATAAGTGAAAAGATGTGTAAGAGGTCAGAGTTTGTCATGTCTATAATTTTGCTGTAATAAAAATGCAAAAAAAAAAAGTATAAGAAATTTATGAAATAAAAAAGAAATAAAATTAATTAATTAAATTAGTACATTAAAAAAAAAATCTGAAGAATTATTTTTCATCTGTGTTGAATATTTATCAGCCAGTATTGGATATTTAATTTGGGACATTTGGTTCTTCATATATAGTGCTAAAAAATTGCAAAATTGTAAAATAAAAAAATAATAAAAGTGTAAATATACATTTTGGGGGAAAAAATAGGTTTAAAATATAAATGTTACAGTGTAAGAGTTACTTGCTATTGATGGTCATTTTTAATGTTTTTGTAGTGTTCGTTTCATTTTTAATTATTTTATTGCTTAGCTTTTGTGGCACTAGGATTTTTTTTAATTATTATTCATTCGTAAAACGTGTTTGGACAAATTATTACATTCAATTTAATGCATACGTTTATAGTTTGAGAATTTTTTATTAATCAGTTTATTGCCAATTTTTCATCATTATTTTTTATTGTTTTATCTCAGTTGAATTTAATGGAAAGTAATGGAAGTGCCAGATTTATCTCTTTAAATGCATTTTCTTAAAGAAGAGATTTTTAACTATTCAACTTTCATGTCAAATTGAGTGGTTATCAATAATTCATACTGTACATTAATAATAAGGTGTGATATTTGTTTCTCTAATAATGCAATAGATGGCGCTAAACACTTACACAAATACTCCTTCATATGAATCATTCATACACTCTTACAGGAGTATGTTTTCCAGACTATTTATTTATTCATTTATTTACTTTGAAATGGTCAGACATTTGATTTATGCATTTTTATGTATTTATTTGATTTATCTTGCAGTTACCGGCCCTGACCTCTAAGTTACACCGCCCACAAATGCAATATGTGATGCATTCATTAATTCAATGCATGAATGTTTTCTCAGGTCTCCTGATGTGACGACAGACGAGCAGCCGCCTGCTCTGCCCCCAAAACAGTCCAGAAGAGACCCTCTGACCCACAACGGCAGATCCCAGTCTCAGCATGAGCTGGACGAGCACCTCAGCGAACTATACAACGTACCTGCGGCGTCAGGAAGGAGCATGGTGAGGAAAACACTTTCTTACAAACATACACACATGCTACATGTGTTTGTTCATCTCTCGTTCATCGTTAAATTCATATTTGCTTTTTTTCCCCAGAATGGAGCCGTGCCTCATGACAATCTTGTTCTGATTAAAATGAGGCCAGATGAAAATGGACGATTTGGATTTAATGTTAAGGTGTGTTTTTGGTTATTCAACTACGATTACACTTTTTAGAAGTTAAGATCGAATATCATAAATCATAAAAAACTATTCTCAATGTGGTTTCAGTATTCAAAATGGTTTAGATGTGTCTGCTTTTTAACACTAGCTTTTAACAATATATTTTTAAATTATTTGTCATTTTACAAATAAAATTTGTTAAATTACAAAATTGTAATTATAATAATCAATATATATTTATATTACATATGCAATAATATATACATGATATACAGTATATTCAATTTAAATTTTTATATATATAAAATTATTATATGTAATATATATTTATAATGATGTATAATAATGAATAATAATTACAATTGTACAAAAAACAATACTTTATATAAAATATTAGTTTTTTTAATGACAGAAACCTTACTGTATACTTATTTAATACATAAAAAATACTTTCAGGTTTTGATTCTTTCTATTAAATTGTAATTAAAATGTACATAATAATGATAACAATAATTATTTTTTTAAATATGTATAAATATATATATTTAAAAAATAAATATAATTTTAAATATGTATAACTAGTTCATATATATATATATATATATGTGTGTGTGTGTGTGTGTGTGTGTGTGTGTGTGTGTGTTTACTACTAAAATGCATTTATAAATGTATGTATTTAGTATGTATGTGTTTATATATGTTAATAAATCTGTTCTTCATCCACAGGGTGGCGCTGATCAGAGGATGCCCATCATAGTGTCCCGTGTGGCTCCAGGAACTCCGGTAAGTTCATGCATCACTCACAGATCAGATGATGTTGTGTTTTTATGTCAGGTGACATGTGTCTCAAAGTCAGGAGGCGCTTCAGTAAACAGCAGCTCAGCCCGATGATGAATGATTCTCGATTTCATTCCTTTACACAGGAATATTGAAGTCTAAAAGATTTGAAATTCAGTTTGTTATTTACGCAGTATGAATTAAATGTTGATTTTCCACCACTCACTGCAATTTATATGGCCCTAACCTATCATCTGTGACCTTTGACCTCTGTCAGGCTGATATGTGTATGCCGCGCCTCAACGAGGGCGACCAGGTGGTGCTGATTAACGGGCGTGATATCTCAGAGCACACTCATGATGACGTGGTTATGCTAATTAAGGCCAGCTGTGAGGACCAATCAGGAGAGCTCATCCTGCTCGTCAGACCCAATGGTACGATCTCCAAATTTGAATTTTAGTAGTTAAAATTATATGTGAAATTTAAAATACACTGACTTTCTTTCCTTCCTTTTTCTTTAGCCATCTATGACGTGGACGAGGAGCAGGAGAAGTTGGATCTGGAGCCAGATTTCCAGTATATTCCAGAGATATCCGGTCTGGAGCAGAGCCACTCGGAGGCCGATAGTTTGAGATCCTCCATCCAGCTGCTGAGAGATGGCCTTTCCAGCGGTACCGTGCTTGCGCAGTTTGATGTAAGTAGGATTTTTATTTTATTTTTTTCAGTTACTGTAAATCTATTTTAATTGACTAATAATATTCTATTCTAAAATTCTATATGAAATTATACATTATACATATTTTAAAAAATATTTTGTTTTTATATATTAGATTTTTATATATTCATATTTATAAATTAAGTAGTCCACACTTTTAATACATTTTTAACATGCTGTAAATTAATTTAATAAATTACATTGCTTGTCTTATATATGTCAGATGTATTGCTATATATATTCTAAATAAAAAGGTTTCTTTTAATATATTTATTATTATATATGTACTATAGTTATTATATTTATTTAGGCACTGTAGATCCAATATTAAGATATCAATTTTATTTAACCAATAATGGTTTAAGAAATATTAGAAAATTATACAGAAATTATGCAAATTTTAAAGTATTCTTTTTTCATGTATTATATTTTCATATATTCATTTTTATAAACTATAAATAGTCAAAATCAACATCACTGTAGAATTTATTTTAAATTATGTAACATTTATTTGATGTTATTATATATTATAATGTTTGTATTTATTTTGTCACTGTAGATCCATTTTAATAATTTAACAAGTAATATTTTAAGAAATATTAGGAAATTAAACAGAAATTATGAAAAAAAAATTCTAAAAATTTAGTTTCTATATATTTTCATTTATTTACTATGGATAGTTCAAATCAACAATTGGTGGTCTTATTCATTGTTACATGTTACATATATCCATTTTGATTTTCATGTCTGATTGTTTTTGCTTTCTTCATCTAGAAATCTTACATTGCACTGTGTTGTCGGCTGCATTACATTTTAGTCGCATCATTTCCTGTTGCTCTTTTCAGGCTGTCTCAATTACTTCCTGTTTGCTGAGCTTGCATTTTTTATGTCATGAACTTGTACTAACTGCAAGCTTAATTTAGCCTGTTTATTGCCAATGATAATAATAGTTATGACAGTTAAACAGGCTAATATTGCACAGTAACACACAGTAAACAAGATCAAGTTAAAGTCATGTTATTTTTGTTCAAACCTCGGCGGAAATTGTATTTTGTACCCTAAAACATTTACTTTCTTACAGCAACTGTACAGGAAGCGTCCTGGGATGTCCATGTCATGCGCCAGATTTTCGCAAAACGTCTCCAAAAACCGCTATCGGGACATTTCTCCATGTGAGTACACACAGCTTGTGTTTATATTGGACTCAGAAATGTTTTCATGATTAGCTGGACATTCAGAACGGTTTATTTTGTGACACAGATGACACCACTCGAGTTGTGCTGAAGGGGACGGACGATTATATCAATGCAAATTTCCTTAACGTAATGAGCATTCATTACTTATTGCTGTTATTTTCAAATTAATTTGGCAAGTTTTTGTTCTTAGAAAATGATAATCTGTATATATATACGTGTGTGTTTTTAGATGGAAGTCCCTGGTAAATGTGAAGTAAAGCGGTATATCGCCTGTCAAGGGCCTCTTCCTGGTACCTGCTCTGACTTCTGGCAGATGGTGTGGGAACAGAGTGCCGCCCTAGTGGTCATGCTCACGACACAAGTTGAACGTGGCAGGGTATGAATTTTAACAATTTCATTAAAGGGGTCATATGGGCGTGGCAGAGTCTTAACTTTGATAAAGAATATCTCTTTGGTTTTGAGACTTTAGTCTTTGCAACTTCAGGGATCTTATCTATGCACAATCAGCTTGTAAAACTCCAAAGAGAAAGGAAAACTTGAAATCGCATCATATGACCCCTTTAAATAAAAAATATTCACACTCATAAATGTGATAAAAATTAATATTTGTTTAACTGAGTTATTACTTTAATAATATTTTAAGAAATTCTGTAAGAAACTACAGATTGTAAAAATATTTTTATATTATATTTTTATACATTTCAAGTAATCAACATAAGCAATTGGTGATTTAATTGTCATTTAATAAATTACAAATTTTAATAATTCAGTAAATTACAAATTATATGTGTGCACACACACACACACACACATATATATGTAAAATTACATTTATTCAGTCACTGTAGATCCATTTTAATTATTAAACTAATGAAAATTAATAAAAATAAGATAATAGAATAAAATAATTTAAAATTTTCTAAGAATTTTTTTTAAAAATCCTTTGTTTTTATAAATTGCATTTTTTTTTTCATTTTCATAAACTATAAGTAGTCAACATCAACAATTGGTAATTGAATACATTTAATAAATTGCAAAATGTCATGAATGAATTTAATAAGTTACAAATAAATTACTTTCCTGGTCATTTGTGTCAGGCTCATTGCTATGCGTTGTTATTTTTTTATTATTATTAAATATCTTTAATAATCTTATCTAATTGTATTGTTTGTTTCTATAATCAAAATGTAAACATTTATAAACAGCTTTTCTGCTGATTTAACCAAGGCCTTGAGGGCGGGCCTAAATATTAACTAATGAATTTTTGGCTTAGTGTGTTCCAAAGTCAAAAAATCCAATCAAATCCTGACAGATATATCAAGTCCTGCCCTACATTACTTGTCTTTTAATGTTTATATTAAATGTAAATGTCACTTTACGGAAGTTAAATTATATGAAAATGCCATTTTGTGACTTTTTTGCTTCGATTTTGTCCTCCATATGGTTGTGTTCTGATATATAGCAGTGATTTTGCCATATATGGTATATCTTGACATTTTCTGTTTTAGGTGAAATGTCATCAATACTGGCCAAACGTTTCGGCAAGTGGCACCTACGGAGGCTTTCAGGTTACATGTGTGTCAGAGGAAGGGAACTCGGCATACCTGCTCAGAGATTTGACGCTTTCACACCTGGAGGTGACATATCTCTTTACATGTTCTATATTTTTTGTATAAATACATTTCTGTGCTAATATCTGTTTGGATATTTGTACAGAGTAAAGAAGAAAGGCAGATTTGTCAGATGCAGTACTTGGCATGGCCTGACCACGGCGTTCCAGATGACTCGTCGGACTTCCTGAACTTTGTCAGTCAAGTACGCAGCAAAAGAACTGACGCATCTGAACCTGTGGTGGTTCATTGCAGGTCAGGCCTGGAAAATGTTGCAACAGTATCATCGATCGACATCCCACAGGCTCAAAAACACCATAATGGTGAACAAAATGTTTATTGACTCCACCCCTTTTTCTTTCAGCGCTGGGATTGGTCGCACCGGGGTGCTTATCACTATGGAGACAGCGATGTGTTTGATAGAAAATGGTCAGTCGGTGTATCCCTTAGACATCGTCAGAACCATGAGAGACCAGCGTGCCATGATGATCCAGACTCCTGTGAGTAGTCTAGTCCACATTGCAGCTCTTTCTGGCCAAGAACCGCCCACTTAGACAGGAAGGGACTGTTTGATTGACAAGTAAAGTTGCGTTTAGTATGTATGTAGATGCGCATTTATCACAGAAGCTTTTTCCAAAAACAATTTAGAGTGGTGAATTAATACAAACAGACTCTCTAAAAATTGCGGCAAACCAGTTAATTGAATTGCATTGAATGATCCGCTAATGTTATGTTTAGTACGTAGTAAATACAGATGCACATTTATGGAAAATGCTTTTCCCCCAAAACTATTTATAGTTCTACCATGAGCTACAGTTTCAATTTAGTTGACTTGTCATTAAGTATCTCAAACTACTAGGGATGTAACGATTAACCGCGAGCCGGTTGAAAATCGATATTTAAATTTTGTCATTTAGCAGACGCTTTTATCCAAAGTGACTTACAAATGAGGACAATAGAAGCAATCAAAACCAACAAAAGAGCAATAATATGGAAGTGCTATATTAGTATATTATTATAGTGTTATATTTCAATTTGACAAAGAAATGTGCAGCATTTTGTCCAAGCAATAATAAAAGGACAATTTATAATTTCTTAAATCTCATTTTGTTTAAAAAAAATCGTGAATCAAATCGAATCGTGAAATCAAAATCGTGAATCAAATCGAATCGTGAGTTGAGTGAATCGTTACATCCCTACAAACTACGTTCATAAATATCAAAAATTCGACGTCACGAACTTCGCAACTTTGGTTAATCCAACAATTAATTCTTTCCTGGTGGACTGATACAAAAAAGGGTCTCAAAAATTGCATCAGACCAGCTAATCTCATTATGTTTATGCATAAATACAGTTTTGTTTATTCATAGTGCAGCTAAATCACTTATTGTCCATTTTATTTGTTTCCAGAGCCAGTACCGTTTTGTATGCGAAGCGATTCTGAAAGTTTATGATGAGGAGCTTGTAAAGCCATTTGAGACTGAGCCTCCGGTCGAAAAGGAAGAATGAACACCGCCCTTCAGCATTTCTGAGGTTCTTCTGTGATTTACAACTACTGCCAGTGAGATCTGCGCTCAGCTCACTGTCGCCTCCTGCTGGAAGGCAGTGGACCTGATCGCCCGCAAGCTAGAATACAGACGAAAAAGCACTATTGCACTTTACAGCAACAAACAATGACTTAAGGGTATTTTTCATTTAAAAAAAAACAGTATCATGTTACTGATGAGTAGGTACGGATAATGTTAATCATTTGGGTTAGAGAAAGAAATTTGCTTTTGTGCCAAAAGCTGAAATGAGCCACAGTCCATGTCAGAATTAACTCTTGCAACTAATGACAGCACGTTTTATGTTTTATTTATTTGTTTTGGGGGATTTTTAACAGTGGACTTGAACAGCAGGTGCAACAGGTGCTCGGCACATTCTCTTCCCTTTTCCTGACTGTGACTGTAATTGTTTTAACGTTTAAGTTTAAAACATAAGTTAAAATCGTTAGCTTTTTTAAAATTGTCAAACAAAATCAACGCTTTTAACGATACACATTTCATTAGTTTTTACCCTGGCGCTTTAAATCTAGTCTTTCGTAAAGTACATTCTTTACTTGATAAAGTTTCCATGGTAACATTAAAGTTCTCTATAAATTTAGCGAAATTAACAGGCCACCAGCTGCATTAAATATGAGCCATGGTGAAGATGTTTCTTGCTGCCAAATTTCACAGCCGTTTGCCTCTAAAACCGGTTGGTACGTCGCTTTGGCTAATCGCTATTTATTGCAAGGCTACGTGTAGTACGTAAAACGGCTGGCATTTTGTATCGTTAAATATGCATCAGGCAGCTGATCCCCTTTCAGATCCATGTTTGCCGGATCTTTGAAGCATATTATTTAGAAAATAAAGCTGAAGTATGGACGCAAATTAAATGTTTAATGTACGATTTAGTCTAGCATTCTCTCTGGTTAGCGTAAAGATCATCACATATTCGCAATTACCAATTTTCTTCCATGTTTACGATCAAATTTTCAAAACTTCTACTGTAAGAAATCTATTACCTTCAGATTTTAGTTGTTCATCCTGTACGAATAATTTTGTGTTTTTGGTTGAGAAGAAATATCTGCTCCACTCTCTGAAGATACCGGTTTTAATTCTGCTTATCATTGGTTATGCTTATCCATATCTCCTCTTCTCTAACTAGTTACCTGTTAGCTATTACCTGCAATATACTCGAAAGGTGGTCATAGTTCATTTAATACTTGCTATGACTGTAGAGATGATGACATTTACTGAACTCATTGGCCGCTTTAACGTTTTATTTCGCTAAATTTCGCTAAATTTCACCGCAAGTGCAAAATTTAACAATAAATGAATTTAATGCATTTTTTTGTTTTAAGTTCTCATTTTCTGCATTCTGAAGAGAAAGGATACGTATGAATTATGGAGCATAATTTTTTAATGTGACACTCCGGACCATCTTAATAGTTTGCGAATGTTTTTACAAACATTTCCCTCCATATGCCGTTTTGCGGTGCCATTGTGCAAACGATTTAGTGTCAAGGACCAATCCCGCCCACCGTTTTGAATGTGAGCCGATTTTGCTTCAGTGTACGTTGTTTAGCGCAGCAGCTAGAAATTTACTACCGACGTTGCATCGGAAGTGGTGGTATTTTTGTATTTAACGAAAAAAAGGACAGCACTTTGCAACTGACTGTGGTAGTCAGCTGTGCTACTGTAGAATTTATACTGTAATTGTGTAATGGGGAAAAATATGCTGTTTATTTATGTTGAACATTTTGTCAAATACGGACACCTGTGGGGGGGCTCTTAACTACATAGTGTCATATGTGAAATACTTGTAAATACAATGTTATATATTAAAAGTGTTCTGAAAAGATAATGGTGGTTATTTTTGTTTTAGTAGTTTTTAAAACGTCAGAAAAATACAAAGGAAATTGTATGTCATGTTTGTATTATCTCCCAGTTGTGTTTGTTTGTCTGTGAGAGAGCGAGTATGTCTTTTGTACAGACTGTTTTGTTTCTTACTGGCGTCCATTTTGAAATTGCGCTTAAATAAGCTGACTCGTCTTCTGGCGCTTGTGACACACGTCAAATCAAATATAATACAGCTCAAACTCCTATTTTCAGTGTTGTTTTTGATAAATATCGACCTACTACTCATACAGGAATGAAAGCACAAAGACGTTTAATTTCTCAGCTTGTCTTTTTTTATTTTTCTTGGCATTTTACATGAGATGTTGAACAGGGATAATTTAATCAGCTGTATTGAGGCTGAAAATTTATGCCGGCTTTACAGAGCTCATTGCTGTCATTGACTCATTTTTACTTCTTCATGACCTCGACATCAACATCCTCTGTGCGAGAAACGACCTTTCCATCAACCACTTCTTCGATTACTGTGCGAACACGCTTGGTCACCACAGGTTCGGCTGGAGAGATAGAATAAAGAAAAATTGTAAGTTAAAAGCTACACGTTTACATCTAATTGTCAACGTTTTAATTGTATTTAAATTTAAATCATTTAAATTGATTGATGTCGTATTTTATTTTAGGTTAAAACATTTTAATATGTATAATACAATTTTTTTTATTTAAAAAAAAATTGTAAAAATACTCACGCTTGGGGGGAGGAGGAACTACAACCTCTACAAATTTGATTGTCTGTCTCCTGTAAAAAAAAAAAAAAAAAAAATTTTGAAATGTCGTACAACTCCTGTGATCTTTGAAAAGACAATTTGATGTTCATTTGTTTTGTTTTTTTGTAAAAAAAAAAAAAAAACTTACTGAATGTCCTCTCCATCCAGAAGTCTCCTGTACTCTGCGATCTCCATCTCTAGTCTGGTCTTGATGTCCAGGAGCAGTTTGTATTCGCTGCCCTGTCTTTCGATGTCCATGCGCATCTGAGAAAGCTCCACCTCCAGACTGTTAATAACGGCCTGCAATTGGTTGAGCTGGAGGCTGTACCGTGACTCTGTCTCTCTCAGTGTGCCTTCCAGTGCCGCTTTCTGTCAAATCATAAAGCATAGAAGAAAGGTGAGGGTGTGTGGCTATGCATAATAAATTGCCTAAGTGGCTGCCTCTAGAAGCAGCTATTGCAAAATACCTTTTTTAACATTATTGATCAAAGCTAGTAGAAACTTGAGCATAGAATAATAATTAGGGGTGTGGCTATGCATGTTGGATCAAATAAAGCTCCTCCTAGTGGTTGTGGAAATGTTTTTAACATTCAATTAAAGCTAGAATTAATTTGAACGAGAAAGAAAGACTTTTACCATGCTGAGCTGCGACTGTAGTTCGATCTCCAGGCTCTGAAGCGTCCTCCTGAGCTCGTTGATTTCATTGCGGGACAATGTAATGTCTTCTTGTCTGGTGGATACCTGCTTGCTCAGTTCGTCGAACTGTAGGGAAAGAGGTTTGAGGTCATTTTCTAGCTGATTGTGTATGTTTTAGCCATTGCAAATAAGAACGAACACTTACTTTGCCCTTGTACCAGGACTCCATTTCTCTGCGGTTCTTCTCAATGACGCCTTCATATTGGGATCGGATCTCCTCCATGATGCGGGCCATGTCTTGCTGAGGTGCAGCGTCAACCTCTACGTTTACACTGCTGGAGGACATGTGAGCGCGAAGAGCTGCGAGTTCCTACAGAAAAATTATATAGCCGTTAGCTTATGCACCTTTCCGAACATTGCGTATTTTTTGAAGAATGGTTGGTTTTGAGAAGTGGGAATTGCTATTGTAGGAGATGGACATGCTTGAACTTTGACTCTTAAGGTACAGTCACATGAGCGAAATTTCACAGAGTAGTTACAAATTGCTCCCTCTAGATGCAGCTAGCAGGAAATATATTTTTTAGCATAATCATAACTAATAGGAATTTGAGCTGAGAGAAACAATTAGGGGTGTGGCTATGTAGTTTTTAATCAAATAAAGCTCCCCCTAGTGGTAGAGGAAATTATTTTTATTTATATTTTGCTTTCACACAAAATTCCCTTTTGCACAGATACCTATTGGAGTGGGAAATGTGACTGCACCTTTAAGGTTTGAATGCCAGTGCTCCAGGTAACATTTCATTACAGGACTAGCATTTCTAATAGTGCCTAATGTTTAAAATTACACTTGATTGGAGAAGATTATTGGTCTGGTCTGGTGGATTATTGGGTAAAGATCTTGCCTCGCTGCACCAGGTTTGCCCTGCCTGGAGGGCCATAAAATATTTTTTGATCTCACCTAGGGCTGGACAATAATTCAATATCAATATGTATCGCGATATAATTTTTTTCAATAACGGTGATATGATTTTAAAACACATTTCCGATATTTCGATATGCATTACCAGTGTTTCCCATACATTGATTTATTTGTGCTGTTTGACTTCGTTGAATAAACATGAGCACTGCACGTTTCAAAATCATAACACGGCGCGGGTGTTTTATATGAATGTATCTCTGAAGGGAATTGACTGTCTTCAGAAAAGTTTCGATGGCATTTTCATTTGAGGGAAAGAAATTATAGAAATTATACTTTTATTTAGCAAGGATGCTTAAAATTTATCAAAAGTGATGATAAAGGCATTTATAATGTTACAAAAGATTTCTATTTCAGATAAATAGTGTTCATATCGATATCGGAATTATATCGTATCGACCGAAATTAAGAAATATATCGTGATATCAATTTTGGCCATATCGTCCAGCCCTAATCTCACCTCTGCATGGTTCTTCTTCAGGTAGACTAGCTCCTCCTTCAGACCCTCAATCTGCATCTCGAGGTCTGAGCGAGTCATAGTGAGGCTGTCCAGAACCTTCCTTAGACCGGCGATGTCGGCCTCCACGGACTGACGCATGGCTAACTCATTCTCGTACCTGAAGCCGCCAAGAATAACAATGTTAGGCTGGAAATCTAGACAAACCCAAGTGTTAAAATGTTGGGTGTGACATTAACAAGCTCATAAAATTAGGGGAAACCCTTGCTGGGAATGAAAGATTGGTTTAGCCTACTGGTCTAGACTGGTTTAAGCGGTTTTTTTAATTACTCGAATGAAGTATGATATTAAAGTCAATACAAACTTCATGAAAAGATGTTTTAAATGAGGGAATAAGAAGGTAAAGGTTTTTGTTTGTTGTACTAACTTGACTCTGAAGTCCTCGGCTGCCAGTTTGGCATTGTCGATCTGAAGGATGATTCT